GCAAGGCTTGCGGGACTTGCTACTGCGACTACGGCAATTTGTCGACGGGACACGGCCTTATCCATGACATTATCTTGCATCATCGGCTCGCCAACAACGTGTCAGCACAGATCAAGTGCAACTTGGGAAGGCTAAAAGCGTGGGAAGGCCATTTCCGGGGGCTTTTCAAATCATCCATTAACATCTGCTATGCCATGCTGTTGTCGACTCTGATCGTCAGAGTAAAAAGCCCATACTTGGTAGAGACTTATGTGGCGAGAGAAGAAGATAATTCCAGCTTAAAAAAAGAACGACGAGAATCACCAGAATTAAGACTGTTAGGGGCTGCCCAATATAAACATAAAGAAAGAAATGTGACAATACTTTGACATAATCTCCTTTTAGGGGCTGGCGCGGCTGCCAATTGTGCGACGTGACCGGCTGCGCACATCGCAGCGCGCGACAAAGAGTAAAGTTATGGGATCAGACGTGCGGCTACCGCCAGTATCCATGAAAGATGTTACACGAAAGCCAGCTGGTCGGGCAAGCGAGTATTTTCCGGAGCAGATCCCGGACGGATAAACAAGTCGTATGAAATGTACAATCGAATTAATAAACCCCTTTCAAAAATGGTTCCGTTGTTAAATTTGAAAATCCCTTCGGGCAAGCGTAAGTATATTACAAACAATGCACACTTAAAAAATGTACATGGTGATCTGTTTAAATGTCATCGTTTGTCGGAACAAGGAATAACTATCGTGGTAACCGTCTTCGGTTGGATCCTGCATGACGGAAGTCTCCGTATAACATTCGCCGAGGGGTGTAGTTATTCGTCGCTTCGAGTCCTTCTTCGTGGCTCGCCTCATTTTTGCCGCATTCTCGCTAATGGCCCCTATATCCGAGGCCCGGAGGCAGGGGGGGGGGCTTCGAGGGGAGTTTTCGAACGAAACCCCTCACCCAGGACCTCCGAGCCACCGAGCATCCGCCGCTCCAAGCCTAAAATTTATTTTTTTTTTTGGAAAATTTGCAATACAGTTTCATCCTCAGTTCCGCTCTGACATTTTAGTAGTAATAATTGCAAAAATCTTCTTCTGTCCATCGCGTGCGGGAGGTGAACCAGTTGTGAAACCGCCCTCTCCCACAACCCCCCACGACCGCTCGGGAGTCGCTATGGCTTCCTTCCCTGGTCCGGCCTGGTCGCGTTCGCGCCCATGAGCAGGGGCGTGTTATAGGGGGGTTTCCAAAGAAGAGTCTCGACCCCCCTTGCTCGCGCTGCTAGAAAACGCCAAATTGACTGAGGCGGGTAAATTTAAAAACAAAATTTCTGGGGAGCCCATCGACACCCCTCCCCTTCGCTGTTGCCATCGCAACTTATGTTACGGTATAGACCCCCCCCTGGTCACAATCCTGTACACTGCC